CGCCATTTTGTGCTGGAACCTACACGGAACATTCCTATTTTGCAACAAGTAGTCAAGACTCTGGCTACTTGCCAGACAATCAATATTAAAGCCCCGCTATGTAGAAATCAAAATCTCATCATTTGACGTGAAATACCTGCTGGCTGAAATGGATGCCCACAATTTTCCATAAATGCACGGGAAATTATAGGCAAGGGAACCACTTGCCATAAATTCGGTTAACTCGCTTTTTACATTCGTATTGACTGTGTGGTATATGATACAGGAAATCACCATTGGCATAATTAACTGCCATATAATTTCCTGTTGATATGATTTTTTTCCAGTGTATTCTGACGGGTATTCTTACGTCGAGCGGGCAAAAGCTCATTCGAGGTTCATCTTCACCGACTTGTTCCACCAGGCTCAGTCCTGCACCTCATCTTCATTTCACACCCTTTCAGAGAGTACTTTTTCCCTCTCCAGGAGACCCACTGTATCCCCTGGTAGTCACTGACATCTGGGCTGCTGTGGTACAAGCCGTTCAAGTTGCTCTTGAATTTGTTGCTATTACATTTCTTGTACCACCAGCCCCCATGGAACATTGCAGCGCAGTTTCTACTTCCAGAGTCGCCGTTGTCGCGGTCCTCAGTCGAGAATTCCTGCCCGTTGTGGAGTGAATCACCTACAAGAGACAAAGAGTCATCAAGTTTTTAATAAAGTCCCGTTTTATGGGGAAAACCCATGAAATCAAGACCGGTATTTTCTCTTCATTGCCACGAGTTTTGTCTCTCCACCTGCTTAAAGGCAATGTAGACCATTTGCACAATCTCAAAAGCGGGACCGCCGAATTACCTGCATCTCTAAATGTCTTTATGTAAAGCAAGTAAATAACAGTGTCAGGCAACCTGTGAAATTTCCCCGCCGTAATGCTGTCAAATTTCGTATAGCAACCGTTAACGGGGCATAAAAATGTGTGTTATGTGTTTACCTGTAAAAGGAGTCTATTTTAGACCAAAAAGTCTCCGATTTCTTGACAGGGGCTGGCTCCAAAAATGGAGCTGCGACCCAGTTTTAATTTATTTTTTGTTTATTTATTATTTTTAATTTTTCCCATTTGAAAATATTCATCTCCAACACTGAAATAGACTGACCCCCCTCACTAGTTACTTTTAAAAGCGTTTATTTACATCCATAAAGGCCAAAAAAGCCTCCGGTTTCTGCGGAGCGTGCGCGTCGCCGTAGACCTGCGCGTCTATCTGCAAAGCAAAAAAGTTTTTATTCGGTATATAAGATGTCTGAAAGCTGCCAAACCTGCTTGACCGACTGTAACCCTGCTTTTGCGTAATTTTAACGCATTCAAGATGGGGTGCGGTAGAGCAAAGGAGTCCCTCCCCATACATTTAGTCGGGCACTCTTTTTCAGACGACGCCATTTATGTATGATACATTTACATATGGGAACCAGACAGTCCTATGTTTATCCACACGTTGAAAACGCTTCTAAACAATTAATAGTGAGTGGCCATTCTATCTCAGCGTTAGTAGCGGCGGTACGTAACTATGTACGTGTACATATATAAACAAGCGTACTTCATTTCTAGAAAAAAAAGTTGGTCCCCCACCCAAAAAGGGTCGAGTCGCAGCACCACTTTTGAAGCCAGTCCCTAACCAGAAACCAGAGACTTCCATTTCCATTGCTGCAATATTGCCTTGTACGATCTGTTCACCTTATATTGTAACTGAGTATTAAACCACGTGTACATGTATTTCGAAATTTAAATCAGGACTGACGTCCATTCGGCCAAAAGGCTTAATTTTGTATACTTTCAACTGGGTTTACAATAGTCACACCCTCGGTTGTGCAACTTTATCTCTGACGTCAACCTTTGGAAAGCATATAGGGGCAATCACTGTGGATTTTTCTCCAAGAGAAAGAATTGTGCAATACTTGTAAGTGCATAAACCACTGCAAAAGAGCCACTGTCCCGGCATACCCAACCTTGTTTGTGCTATGGTAAATTTGGGTGTATATATCCAACGTGGAAAATGCAGTGTAATAGGCATGATAACGTTTGTTATGAATGTTTGCTTCCACTCCACTTTACAAATAATCCTTCTGTAATGTTGGATATTAATTTAATAGCTGGGTAGATCATGTTGAGCATTTTATCGTCAATAGTTGAGTTTGCCTAATTTTTGGAATGTTGCCACTGGATCGCTTTGGTCTTGCACTTTGACACTTTGAAAGGACATTTCACAATCTCAGTTTTTGACGCAAAAGAAATTCAGGTGGAATGAGAAGAATTTTTGGACTTCAGGTACTCAATAGCACTCAAAAAAGGAGAATAATTGTGAGAATCTGCGGGATGTACCGTACTACTATAGGGTGGAAAAACTTTCCGTCTGAGATTCGAATCATGGATATCCTCCATACTGTTTCTTTCCTTTACCCATTACGCTACGCAAGACGGCGGAACCGGCTTTTCTCCATTCTTTTATGCCCGTCACCCTGCGTGAAGGCGGCCTTCCGTATATGTACTTTGTTGGGTAGCCTACGATGCGTTCATGTATTTCACTTTCACGGACACAAAAATCGACTCCACTGCAACACACGTGGGCGTTGTGTTGGCGCAAGTGTTGGGCGCTTCTGGTAAGGCGGCTTAATGCTGTTGAATCTGTTACTTGAGGCAGCTGCCAATTGTTTCATATTGATGGCAAGTTTCACACAGTGTCATTTCGGAGTAAAAGCCTGGATTACAAACAGCGGAGGGTACTCGTGTATGGACTAGCCTTAAATGTTCTTTTACCAGCTTTTGTTTTTGTTATTTGTGTTAGTGTGAAAAATGAAGCTGGTGAGGAGCAAAGGTAGCGAGGCATCGTTCGTGCGATTGGGTAAATATCAGGAAAATTAGGTTCACATCGTCCAAAATGTAATAAGTAATACTGTTGAGTTCAGTTATTTTAAAAGAGGTAGAAATTGATAATGCACGCACGGAAAACGCAAGCTGAAGTTTGGCTAAGGTTTGTACGCAAACATTTAAGTGCCAACGCGCGCTATGAAGCACGTTTGTCACTTGAGTACAGCTTCATTATTAATTCCTTTGCTGATTTTGGTAAGTAGTTTATATTGCAATTAAAACTTTAAATGAAATATACAGCTGGTTACAAAATGTTCACACTTCGAAACCTCAATTCAATGGGGGGGGGGGGTAGTCTGGGTAAATACCATGTCACAGCCCGAACAGTCTAACTTTAACTGTCCGTGTAGTTTGGGAAATTTTTTAAGAAAGCAGTGTAGTTAGACCAGGCGTAATTATGAGGTCGTTGTAGAAGAAAAATGAGCTAAAGGGAAGGTTGCATCATATGGTGCACTTCTTAAGGGAGCTGTAACATACCTGCATGTTCTGCAACCGTATGGAAATCGTCGATCTCAAGCTTGTACTTTTCACCCACTGACTCTATTTTAAAGTCCTCATAACGAACCGTGGCATTCTGTCCATCGAACGCCCTCAGAGTAATGACCAGCTCCCATTTGCCAGTACGAGTCAGATCATACAGCTTCTCGTTGCCCAGCCAGAACTCCCCGGTCAGATCGCCGAAACCCTCGGCGTACTCCTGCCAAGTGCGGTTGAAGCTAACGGAGCCGTTGATGCGTCGTTGAAACACCTGCGAGAGCGGAAGAGTTGCAAAAAAGTCATGGATACTTTTTTGTGGTTTGAGATGCGAAAGCTGATCATTAAATCGTCACAGTAGGTTCAGTTTGATAGTTTGCGAAGGGCTTATAAGTTTAGCCTCGTTGTTTGTCGAATTCGTTGTCAGAAACCGATCGGCACTCTTAAGCATTTCCTACAGGGAGAAAAATGCGCAATTTCAGGAATAAATGGATCACAGCCTTGCAAAACGTTTTACTTTTGCCTTCTGCCACTACGTTTTGCATTTAAATTAACGAAGTCTGTCCTTTTAGTAAATTCTGACTCAGTGAGGGAAGACGCGTATTTTTGTTCTTGCCCTTCACAAACAAAGTGTAAAACAACCAGCAAGCTTCAAAATATGGAGTGTTTTAATATTGTTCACAGTTAATAAGGTTGTAGGTGATCCTCCTGCGTTTTGGGAAACACACTGCAGTATTTCACCAATCATTAAAAACGTTTGGATGAAAGCCGTTCACTGACTCAAAGTGAAGTTTATTGGATGGGGTCGAGGTGGAACCAAATAACTATGGCTAGATGCATCCACATTTGAATTAGGTGGAAAAGGTAAAAGGTGGCACGTCTTGACTCAGAATCAACCGATTCCCTCCTACAGTGGTTAACGCTTTTTCAATTTATTATTACTTTTTTGAGGGGGGTGGAGATTTTAAAAATCTCTGTCAGAGAAGGCATCTGAATTTACCCCCAACAACGAGAAAACCAAACAAATAAAACAAAGTGTTATTAAGGCATACGTCAAAGTTTTTCCCTTTTAAAACTGGTTTACAGTGATTCTTTCTTTAATGGAAATTCGGCCCCTTATTATTGTCTGTCCAAAAAATGACAGAACATTGTGTAATTATTTCAGTAAGGGAAAGACACTCACTATATAGCCGGCACCAGACTCCATACTGCAGTAGACCTGCATGGTCTCACCGTTATGCTGAATGGTGTATACACCGCTAGTGCTTATACCAGCATCCAAGATCTCCTGACAATTTGCCGCAGGCTCCGTCAGCTTTGGCGCCATTGTTGTCTCGTGGAGAGTCGATACGACATGTGTCGAATCTGCTTCTGTGATTATGGTAGCGACTTCAGAAGTCGACCCCTGCGCACGGGTGGTGACTTTAGTTGTCAATCCTTTTTCACCCGTGGTCACTTTAGGCGTCGATTTAGGAACCCTTGTGCTTACCTGTAACGTCGATTCTGTGAAGGAAAAAGTAACAGAATAGTTCAGATGTGCCTATGCTCTCTGAGCTTTGTTGACAAAATTCATGAGATCAGTCTTTCGTATAAATGAACGAGTTCAGGCTTGCAATGAAGCGAAATATCGCCCTAAAGGCTTTCTCGGATACAGGTCAATTTTAGCCACGAGGCTGACATCTTGCCGCCAGATGTAGTTTGAAAAGGAAAACTGCTCATTCGAACTGACCGTGATGTGAACGCTCGTTCACTTGAAAGTGACACCTTGCATCTGCGAAATGTTATGAAATGTTCCCAAAATATTTCTTGAGCGAGTGATATGTAAGAGGATAAAAATCACCCTTTCTGATGTGAGGAAACTGGCTCTTATATAAAAATTGCAAGAGTTTGCCTGAGACGACAGAGATAATGATGGG